GTCGGGTCCTCCAAGACGCAGAAAGAAGGTACCAAATGGTCGAAAAGCTGGCGTTGGCACTCTTAGATCATATATGTCAAATTTTGTTAAAATTGAACAACAACTTGAAGGTAATCAAAGTGTTCATATTTTAGTATATTTTGAAATATATATATTACGTCAATTTTGTTTTATGAGAATGAAGTATCAAATCATCTTAGATTAATGTAAAATTTGATATATATGATCTAAGAGATATGAACTTTCAATCTAACGGTTGGATTTACAAAATTCACATTTAATATAAAGTTATTGAGCGGTGTAACACTTAGTTAAAGTTACACCGGTGTCATTTGAACCCTCCTCTAATGCTAATCATGAAATTATCAAATTAAATTAAATAATTGGACCCTTTGGTATAAAATGCGGAGTACGTCACGAACGTGACCCAATTCATAATGTGTTTGTAAATAAAAATATGGTCTACTTCTTTTTATAACTATAATTTTATGAATTTTATCCTTTAGTCTTTAAAATTAAAATATCTTATTTTTGTCTCCGTATATATCACTTTTAAAGAGAATGTTATTAGTATTCCTTATGTTGTGAATTAACCTTTAAAATTAATGGCCTCAGTTAACCCTTAATACTTTTAATTGAACTAATGATGTTATTTTATATATGAGTATGTTTAGATAAATTTCTTCAAAAATATTTATAGGATGAAAAAAATAAGAAGAAAAATTAAAATAAGTTTATTTATAAGTTAAAATTAGTTTATAAATAAGTTTTTTTTTTTTTTAAGAAAAGGATTTTGAAGAAGATAAAAAGAGGGACCTCTACAAATTAGCTTGGACATAAGTTAATTTTAACTTGTAGAAAACTTATTTGATATTTTTCCTTTTTTTTTTTTTGTTATAAGTACTATTAGAGAAATTTATGCAAAATAAAAAATAAAAAATTCAGAATCACTCACAATGAAAAAAGACAGAGCATAAAGGTTAGGTCTAATAAGAAGTATTAGTTTTCCACAATGAGGTGAACTAATGGTTCAAATTTGTGTTGAAAGAGTTGTCCATATTTAGCATCATCTTAACAAACCCTGATGACGATCACATTCGAAGAAGAATATTTGTGGAAAATCAAAACCAAAGGAAGAAGACAAAACAAATATTAAACCTTAAAGCTAACTAATTAGTAACCAAAGCTTTGTCTTCGTTAAAATAATAATTGATATTAGTAAAATTGAGATACTTCAAGTTTTTATATTTTATTTAATAAAAATATTTAAAAATTATTAGTATTTATTAGCTCAATTAATGTTGTACTTATTTTTCAAACTTTAAAATTTCAAGTTTGAGTTTTATATTTGCAAGAGTAATTATTTTTAATATTTAAAAATTTAAGAGTAAAATTATCTAAAAAATTGTGTATACCAAATTAAACCTTTTATATATGTTATAGACATATCACACACACAAACATAAACATAATCTCATAAAAAAAATTAAAACAATATTAAAATACAAATTTTAAAATAAATATACAAATAAACCGAACATTGTAATAATTTACTCGAATTGATTTTATAAACGATGTTACAAATAGGCAAGACAATAAAATTTGATTGTGTGGCTAGGGTACCTATCTCATCCTGCCATAACTTAGACAAGGAAAATCTCTTCTGGTTAGGGTTAAGTTTGGGCTTGAATTTTTTATGAGTTGTGAAAGAAAGGTTAAGGGTGTGTAGACACAAATGTATTAATTTTATACTTTATCTTTTATGATCATTATAATAAATTGATATATTAATTTATACAAAGATAGAGAATGAGAAAGAGAAAAAAGAAAGAAAAAAAATAAAATGCAACAAATGACGTGATAAAGGAATATAAACCCAAAATATATATTCATAAAGTCGTTATACATATATATCATTGTTCTTAAATAATTATTATCATAATGATAAAATAAAAATTAAATTATACAGTTAACTAAAAAATTTGATTTTTAAATGTTTAATTTTAAGTTTTTTGTCATTTAATAAATTAGTATATGATTTGTTTGAAAATATATAAGTAAATGAAAATTTAGAATATATAAGGTGGATTCCCCTATGAGTTTTTTTTCTTAGTAATTATTGTTAAATCTATCAGAATATTTATTATTGAACGATTTGAATTGTTATTAGACCACCTGCATGAGTCGAGTCTTAAATAATGTTTGGATTTTATTTTGACAAAACTCAAAAATATTTTTTTGCTTTAGAAGTAATAGTTTTTTCCCTTCTTCGTTCATGCATTGAAATCCACAATTTTACATTAGAATTCACGAAAATACTTTTACAATAACCTTAACCATACCCTAAATTTGATTGTCGAAATGAAAAATACCATTATAAAGATTCGAAGCAGAATAAAATTGCGCCTGCATATAATTTATTGGAACAATGGACCAAAATACGTATTAATTACTTTCCAATTCTAAGCAACCAAAACGAAATCCGCAAATTGAATGTTATCGTTACAAGCTTGCCTCACAAATATTATAACATACACAGCAAATCAAATAGGACAATTGGCACTGTAATAGTGGCACTTGATGTTTACAAAGAGCCATTTTCTGGACCAGTATCGCCATTACTAGGATGTTGTGTTGTGTTTTCAGTCATGACTTGGACATTTTCATGCTTGTCTAACTGACTGAAATTACCCTTCTGCTTGAAGAGCTGAGTATGGTGGTGTCTACAATAAAGACGATGTTCATGAGCAATATAATTTGAGGGGCTGATTACGCAACCTCCATGGGTGCACCTGAAACAACACTTATGGTAAGATTTGCCATCAACAGCCACCTGAAAAAAGAACCTTACCATCAGTAAAATAATGTACTTAGGACCCCAAAATACATTATATATATGATCTTGGATATTTAATGGTTTTAGCAGATTTTTTTTATTTAATAAAGAAGTATAACTCATTCTTATAAGATATGTACCTATAGAGTATATTGATACCTCATATTCTGACTTCATACTCAAGCAAGGGATCTAATAAGGTTTTTGGTAGTTTATGACATGGTTTCCATTTTGTTGTTTATTGTCACTCTTTTATTTTTTTTGGCATAATTAGGGATACCATTGTTCTGTTTTTATTTATAGTTGATTTGTTTTCACCAGTTTTTATAAAAATTATTTTTACATTATTTGTTTTTGCTTTTGGATTTTGTTAGCGTTTACTTTACAAAACCATTAAAATACGAAATAAATAAGAATTATGTGATATTTTTGTACTTATCCATACATTTTTCGTTGAGAATGATCCATATTTAAGACTAAAATATAGATCATCAGTAAAATTAGTGAAAAATTGAAAATTAATAAAAAAAAGAACTAAAAAGTTTTCTAGACCTATTGGACAATTTGCGCTAGTGTGAGCTGTGTTATTTTTGCTGTTATTTTTGGTACTTTCAATTATTTTATTTACCTTACCCCTCTTTCAAATACTGTTATACTAATGTAGTATTAGAATTCATAAAGTTGATCTACCAAGTTTGGAAGCTATAACATGCTGATAAAAAAAATAGTATTAGACTTCAGAAAATAGCAGGTGGCCAATGGCAAATCTAACTCAATTTTGAATTTCAGCTGAGGTTCCTATGGTTCCAAGAATCCAAGACATCGTTTACTCCATAGGCTCTCTGTATCATGGTTTCATATTTTTGTTTCCAGTTCTAATTCTGTTTCTAATAATATTAAGCTCATAGTTTTGTATCTTCACGTGTGTAAAGGCCTAAAATTTTACGAAAGAATACAAGGAGCTTGGTCCAATCTAAATAGAAATTTAGTAAAAAAAAAATATTACTTCTAAAGAAAGATAACTAGGATATAATAATCTTTCCAAGTGAATTTGCTTTTAAAGTAAAAACTAAGAATGTGTCTGCTGGTAATTTAATTTAAAGTGTATCATGATACTAATCCGTCAAAATTTAAGATAGATATATTCTTAATTGTTCATTTTAAAGATATTTGTTTCAGAGGATCATTTTCCAATGGGAAAATATGTTAACTCAAAATAGTTATATACCTTCTCAATTGGGTACACTGTTTTTTTGCAACCAACACACTTTTCCTGAGTTCCAGAAAACAATCTTGAAACCTTGTTGGTTTGGACCTGTAGAATTCCCAGAGACAATATAGAAGGAATTAAATTAAAGAGACAAGTAGCAAAAACCTTCATTTACAAACACTAAATATGAACCCTAAGGATGAAAAGAAATATTTTTTGTGTATTAAGAATGTGTAAAAACCTGATCAGCAGATCTTTCAACTCTAGGATTTCTTGGAATACCTAAAAGAGTAAATATAACAGTCAGAAAAGGAGAAAACAATAACCTGAAATGAGTCTATATAATTGTTAGAACTAAAAAAAAAAGTTGCCATTGTTAAGAGACAACTACATAGCTATAACTCACCTTCAAAACTTTTGTCCAAGCTGCCTGTCATCTTAAACAGTTGATCAAAATGAGGCTTACAGTATAGTACACCCTCAAAGGAACAATAATTACTCAGCTGCAGGAATG